TGTAGGGATCATACTTCACGACGATCAGAAACTCCGTGGCAGTAATAGCAGCGACCAGCCATGCCTGCTGACCCAGTTTCTTATGGAACTTCCTGCAAAATAGATGCACAGAGGAGACAAAGCTGTTGCTATGAAATTAAGCATTCAGAGAAACAGTCATAGACAGACAGCTGGGGTAAGAATTTCATTCAGCTTTGCACAATTCTAAAAGTCGGGTTCGGATTGCACACGTACGAAGCCTATGCGGGCTGACTACTTTCATGTTGGTGTTACTTGAGTTTCCTCTCAGAGGCTCTGAAAACACACGAGAAGTTAAACTTCATCATCAGGTGATGCAAGGAAGTATCCTCCTTTCCAGGGTATTGGGAAATGCACATAAAGCAATCACCTGACCAGCTGGGGATCAGCTGAGGTTCGGTAGGGTATGAAGTAGGAGCTCTACACCTACATTTCCTCTGCGAGTGTCGCGTCACACTGCTGGAAACATATTTAACCCCTGTGTAACTGCATTCTGAAACTTACTCCCTTCCCAAAGAGGTACACAGTGAGCTGTCACTAAGGATCTCTGAACGCATTTCAAAAGAAGAAAGCTTAATAACAACCAGGCAAGACGCTGGAAGACACAAGGACAGCATTGCACTTCTGCGACAACACAGCCCTGGGGCAAATCCATGACTAATAATCCCCAGGGTTTGTTTTCAAGCAGTACCAGGCAAGTCAACGAGAAGCTGCAGTGCTATGTACTCATCCATCAGTAAGGCCAGAAATCAAACCGCAGCAGAATCAAGATGTCTATCCAGAGGCTCTACTCGCAGAAGGAGAGATTGGGAACATACCACCTTTGGGGTCACCTATTCCTGAAACACACAGACCCCGAGCGCCTACGAGGCCGCCTTTCAGGAAACGTCACTGCCCTCGCAGGGACCTGCCCGTTGCTAGAAACCTGGGGCAGCCACTCCATCTAAACCGCTTCTTGACCTTGTCTGTCCCTGTCCTTTCAGACTTGACATTTTTACAGCTTACTGACCTGACGAACCCAACGATTCACACGTCAAGAATCAAACGGGGTTCTGTTTGGGCAGCGGCACAAGCCCCTTTGTATGCACTGGATTGCACCAAAATCCTGCCCCCCGCAGCACCGCTGGCGCACACACACGTGCTATTCACCAGCACGTACATCACTTCCCAGATTAATTTTCCTTCTTCCATCACCCATCTTGTGTCTAAAATGGGGGTTTAGTCCCATTAGAGGAAGGAAAGCTACTAGAAGTCATATGTAGTTTTTTCTCTCCTTTTTTCCAAAGGCATGATTTAATTAAGTGTTTCCTGAAACATTTCCTTCCTTGATCTGAATCAAGGAAGACTGAACTTGAGGAAAGCAATACCCTCAACCACCATAATAATCGCCAACCGTTTCACGAGCAAGCACACAACTAACTTTTCTCAACGGCCTTTGGAGGGTATCTTCTACTCAAAAAACCACACAAAGCAGCACTTTGGTGCACCTTCCTGTCAGCCCTAAACCTACTACCTTAACTGATTATCGTGTCTCTGAAGATGCCCGAGACAAACCACGCAAACAGAAGCGCCACCAACTAAACTGAAAGGTGGCTGTTTTGCCTTCTTATACCTTATTCTGCCTTTGTTCTACACGTCTCTGCTTTAACCAGAGGGAACCCCGGTTGTGCAGAGGGCCTTGCACCCGCACTTAACCACAGCGCGTTCCGAAGCACATTGCCCCACCAGGTCCCTTCTCTCCCGCCCAGTCTACTGCGTTACGCCATTCCTACCACAGCCTAAGGTGTGAAGTGAACACATCCAGGAAGAATTCGGTGTGAAGCGGCAGAACTACTGGGGCAGGATGGAGGAGGTGGGGAGCAAAGGGATACAACAAACCTACCGAGGGCTGGAGAGAGGGCTGGAGATGTTCAGCTGACCTCTGCAGTACTGCCAGGGCATCGCAGCAACGGGCAGCTCTAGCCCGGTCCGCGCCTGCTGCGACACACAGCCTCTTGTCTGGCTGAGGCACCGACTTAGTGAACGCTGGGATATTCCGCAGGCACGGAAGCTCTTAGGGCTCTATTTTCTTGCCGGTTTCGCCACGCAGTGGATGAAAGAGAAGCCACCTTACAAATCCCTGATTAGGATTTCCTTGGAGAGCGGCTGTTCCGCTAACGCTTCCCTCTGCTAGCAGAGAGACAAGCCTGCCCGCCGCCTCCAGCTGGTACGCTGCCCGCTTCGCACGCTGCGGCACGGGCCCCAGGCACCTCCGACAGTGCCGGGGCAGAGGGAGTCGCGGCCGCACGTTCGCTCCCAGTTTCTCTTCCCCTCTTCCCACTGGAGACCAGCAGCTGCGCTGGGGAGAGCGCCCTCCCTTCAGCAGGCGCTTTCCTGTCGCTCAGACGCAGCTGCTCCGCGGCATGCCCCGGGGTTCTATCTGGGAAGGGATCTAAGCACGGAGAGCAAACAGAGCTTCTCTTCCCTCTCCTGAACCCAGGGCAGTCGTTGCAAGTCAAGCACGCGAAACACACAGTTTATTAAACATGAGGCCCGAGAGTCGTATTTGACACCAATGCATAAGTTCAAGCTACAATAAAATCGTCCAAATACACTGGAAAAAATACGACGCAGTGAATTAAGTGGAGGTTATTGCTGATGCAGATGGGATGAGTGCATTTTCAAAAGTATCCTGCCTCGACCAACTCAGATGAAAGGACTTCAGAAACTGCTCCAGGTGGTTCATCTGGTCTGACAGATGAAATGGGCAGAAACTAGCCTTAACACACGCGTAGGGAGAAAAAACGAAGCAGCAAATCTCTCGCTGTGAACGCCAGCCGTTCAGATGACTAGGTCAGCTTTCTGCTTTGCTGATCTGCTTCCTCATTTGCCACCGTTTTCTTTCACTAGCTTATGACAGCACACGGAGAAAAGAATTAAAGGCAACCCTAGCAAAAGAGCTGTGCAGAACCTAAAGCTGCTGAGGAAGAGAGCTGGTTTCCCGCCCTTCTACTCATGAAAGATTTTAAAGAAAAGTCCATTGTTCGCTTGATGAATGCGATGAAAATTGATGGCCTCAATGCAGACTCCTGGCAAGAGACTCGAAGACTAGAAAACAGGAAGATATAACAAGTTCAAATGCCACAGACTTGCATCAAGGTGTTTTGGTCAGGAACATTTCACACAGCCAGTCCTCGAGAACTCCGAGGCAGCACATTGATCACAACAGAAGCGTGGTACGTAAGAGCTGGAGAACAGCTTCAAGAACCCCCTCTCTTCTTGGACTATTTCGATTCTAGATTCTTTATCATCACCACGCTTAGATCAAGCTCCTGAAAGGAAAGCCCTAGGACTGTCTGCAGATACTAAGAATCCTGAAGGAGAAAGAGAGTCGTCTTATTTGAACTTCACTACTTCCTAGACTCCACATTGCAAGGTTCGCTAAAGAGACCTAATCCGTTTATCTCAGACAATCCCGTCACTACTAGACAAGGCAACGAGCCATGTTTCTGACAAGGAAGGTCAATGGAATATTCCAACCTTTATCCATTAAGAAGCTGAGCGAGTTTCCACAAAGAAAAGGTCAGGAAGGTTTCTCGTGTGCTGTTAGCTGGGAGCCTCTGGTGCAGCCTGCTCTTCCCCAGCAGCTTCTCCCTACAACACAACCGGAAGAATCCAAAACGATTCCTCGGTTCAAAATGATATGCAAGCGGAAATACAGCCAATTAAGGCGGTAAAACGGGGGTAGATATCTCTGCTTGGATGACCTGAAACACACGAAGGACCAGAAGTCCAGCTGCAAAAACCTTTGCGGAGAAGACATCAGTAAGACCAGATGCGAGGCTCTGCCACTTCGCATGCACTGTCTGACGAGGTCCGCTCTGTGGTGCGTCAAGCAGAGCCACGACCCTCAGAAGTGAGAGGACTAGTCACCTTACCCACCAAGAGAGACAGAGCAGCCGGTGGTGGTGGCAGTGATGAAGACGTGCAGTTCAGGATGAGAGTCTCTGCTTGCTGGATGAACTTCTCCAGCTCGCTGACAGAATGGCAACGAACTGAATCAGCAATGAGGCACCGGTGACTGATGATTCTCCTAAATTTCAGTGTTATGCCATGTGGTTGAACAGAGGGCAAAGGAGTTTTTCCAACCCAAACACGAGGACCATAAGACTGTGAATGGTGCTGAGGAGAGGAGCTCACCAGTGACAGGCAGAGACCTCTTCTTACCTTTGAGCTGGAGGCACGTCCCAAACCAGCAGGTCCGACACCAAAGGCAGGGGCAGCCTGCCACTGCTGAATGTCCTGAAATCCGACTAAGCAATGTGGGTTGACCCTTCTTCCCAGTCTAGGAGTCAGAGCCTTGCAAGGGAAACTGATCTTCATAGGATGTTGGAACCCTAAATTCTGAACACAGACACTCTTTGCGTTGGTCAGCGACAGACAATGAACATCCCCTTGAAGCCGGGCGTTGTCTTAGACTTAAGATGTGGGCTCAGGCAATTTGTGACGTTACTACTAAAACTTAAAAGAAAACGTGATTTTGAGAACAAAGCTTTCTCAGGCCTTACATGGTCTGCATGTAACAAAAGCAGCAAGGACAGATACGATGCTTAAGTAGGAACAGTCTGAAAGTACATGCGCTGCTGTGTATGGAAGCACTTCACCTTCGCTTTGCTATAAAGGGTCCTCTGATCTGCAAGAGGATGCCACGAGAGCGCCAGAGGACCAGGGACCAGTTGGAAGACAGCTCAAGAAAAGAAGCGCCCTTAAGAAACATTTGTTTGTTTGTTTGGGCCCTGTTGTCCTTAGAAGGTACATCTAAGGACTGTAGCCCCTGGCTACCAATATGAAAGTGGAGTTCAGCACTCCTCTGCCAACAAGCCGGTGGCACTCCAACTAATTTGCCCGTTACATTGTCAAAAGAGCGATTATTTATTAAAAACTGAGGTCAAAACCAGTGCACACAGAATGCCCCTAACAACAGCTGTTCTCTAACCGGACGTAGTCACAATTTTACCGCCAAAGCAAAAGAACACAAAGCAGACGCTTTGGGATTAGGGCTTTTTGTCCCCGACAAGCTAACTATTGCCCCGAGATGGATGCCAACAAGCTGCAGCAAATTCCAAATAAAGCAAGTAAAGCTTGACATGGTATATACACACGAGGACTGGCTTACGGGTCGTCCATGAAGTCGTAGATCTCCCTCATAGCCACACCTCCCACATTGACAAAAAAGACAAGTCGTAACAGGACCAAGTAGTGTTCTGGTGGCATCCAAAGGACAAACTTCAAGTAAAATGTGTTCAGCTCTGCCAATAAAAACTGAGAAAAAGGACATTTTAATTACATTCAGAAGACTTCACTGAACGAAGCCTGGAACCTCCCCCTCTCCCCGCGTGACTCCCCCCCACTTCTCTAACGCCACAGAGACCTACTCAGTATTGCTGAACGCACCATCACCAGTCGCAGTAATGACCGAGACCAGTTGGGTTTTCAAAAGGTTTCTGTGTGTTGGAAAAGGTATTAAGCACACACAACAGAGACCTGGACAAGCGCTGCCTCCAATTCCGAACATGTTTGCTGGGAGTTTGAAGCACCTGGCACCCGGCAGAACTACTGATAACAAAGCCTAAAAGCAACAACTTGTCGTTCCACTGTAATTAATATCTGACTGAGGGAACCCCAAAATAACAAGAGGCATAAACAGTACATCCTGGGGGTTTATTTGCTTTTTTGGGGGGTGGGGTAGGGGGGGTGTGTGTTTGCTTTTGGTTTTGGTTTTTTTTTTTGTTTGGTTTGTTGTTTGGTTGGGGTTTTTTTGTGGTGTTGTTTTTTTGTTGTTTTAGGTTTGGGTTTTTTTTTTAAAGACAGTTACACAAGTGTCACTGCCAAAGCCAACTTAGGAGAACTGGTTATACATTTATAGCAAAATGTTCTCAAGTGAGCTGCCCTGGCAGCACGACTAAGTGAGCAAGCAGACACAAGATTCTCACTTAAAAAAAAATAAAATAAATATAACAAAGAGCATTAAGCATTGTTTAATCCAAAAGAGTGAGCTGATACCTGAAGCTGCTTAAACTGTCAGCAGAAGCTAGGCTTTGCCAAAGAAACATTATTATACCACAGACTAGTGTAAATTCCATGGAATCTCTCTAGTTGCACAATCTGCTCCAGCACCTAACACCCAAATTCTTCAGGGTGCAGAAAGCTGGGAGTACCACGCAGCAACCATTCGGAGAATCGTGCATTTTATTTATGCAGACGCATCTACTTTACTTCTCCCATACACTACGGGAACCTCAAGCGAGCCTGTTGTGCTATGTGAACTTGGCAAAAGTTGTATGTAGCAGAAATCGGGTGATGCGAACTCGTGTTCAACTGACTGAGATTGCGAACTGCCTGGCACTGGCTGCTGGCGCTGCTGCCCGCTGCTTGCTCACGTACAGCCGGCACCTCGGTCCTCAAGCACACTCAGGTCTGCAACTTGACATCAGCGTAAAACGCGGTGGTGTTATGAGAGGGGGGTGGTGGCGGCGGCAGATTGCCAAGCTGACTGATGTGTCCCACTCAGCAAACCGTCATAGGGAACTTCGCTGGACAGACCCCAGATTAAACCGCCACCACATTTCACATTCCACATATTTCAAGATGCTTAAAGGTGTGCTGTTCTAGCAACCGTTAAAAAAAAGAAAATACAGTTACAGTGCTGCAGCAGTAATACAGAAACTGGCTAGCGCCCATTGTCTCTGCAATCACTAGAAGTGTCGCAAGGCTTTTTTTAGTTAAACTTCACAGTTGGTGAATTGAAATAAGTTTGAGTTGCTCCAAAGACATCCCATGGATAGCACAAAGGCCAAAGTCCCCCAGCTGACAAGAGGCAGGAGTGAGGAAAAAGCACTTACGCTGCCAAGTTTATCCTCCCTATCAGCGTCACGTGTGCGATCCCTGTGACTGCGACAGGGAGGTTGGGAATTGAAGAGGGTGCGCTCCCATAACACAATTCAGCCCCTCGATGGCTAGATGAAGGAGGCAGACTGGCAGTTTGTGACTGCTGGAGAAGCCAGCTTTCTCTTTTCTCTAAATGGGGCGGCCACTTCACCTGAACTGGTCAAGCTGGATTCTGTTAACACCATCTTCTGATACAGGTTCAGTGAAACGTAAGAAAAATATAATCTAGGATAACTGAATTATTTAAGCCTGTACGAAAACACTATCTGAGGCAAAACTGTGCGCTTCAGGAGCCGTGCTGCCCAGAGCCTGAGGCTCTGGTTACAGCTGTGATGTGATACGTATCTGCTTAGGACTGAGAGAAATAAGCCACTTGCATCCAAAGCCAATGCTTTTGGTAGCGGCAGGTACTTGCCGCATCACATGTAGATCATTGTTTATATTGCTCACATTCCCAATCAACACTGTTCAGCAAGAGGGAACAAATAGTTACGCAGTGAATCTGCAAATGGTACCAGAGACGTGGAAACAGACATCTTTTCTGCAGGATTCAGAAGTGATCGCTTCCAGCCTCCGCTACAGAAACATCACCAGGTCAGAGTTCCAGCCGAAGTTACCGTTTTTACAGTTGCTTGAGTGGTACGAAACATTAAATCAAACCACAGAGAAAAGACAAGACAGAGAAGTTTCCTTACTACAAAGATTATGCCACAGACTGCTAGCCATCTGCGTAAGCTGGACGCTGGCTTCCACTCAAATTTGACCCAGCTATACGGGGTGAACTGGAAGACAATTCTCTTCATTTTACCTCTGAAAAAAAGAGCAGAACGCATTCTTGCAATACTAAGAAACAGCACATAAGAGACATCTACTATCACTTCCACTTGAGACAGCAATTTACATATGCAAAATGCCTCCATTTACTCCTTTAAAATTACTACTTAACGAGATTAACATTCTAAGTTAGAGAAGCCTGTTATTTGGACTATCATTTTAAACTTTAGTATACTGCAGCCATTGTAGTAAGCAGTTCCTCAGCTCTGCTTTGCTCAGCTCATTACAGGAAAGGACAGTTCATTACTGGTACAAGACTACAAGGGATTTATTAAATTTTAAGTTTCTGTGTCCCAATTACTATGAAGTTCTGATTACTAGGCAATGCACTATTTGCACAAGGACCAAACAGATCCTTGGTGTGAATGAAAGAGTACGATCCTGACTTAGATTCCTGCCTCTCCTTTACCCATTTCATTAAATAAGCTCATTTCCAGAAGATGCCCTCGTTCCTAGACATCGGGTGATGCTCATAACAGACAGGTATATTTTCAACAATCTCTTTTGCGAGTTAAATAAAACTCTCATAAGCAAGGTTCCCTGCAGTAATAAGTTACTAGATATTTGAGTCACCTAAACACGCATGAACTCTGTAATTCGCATTAACCCTAACAGAACCACCCTTCAACAACCAAGATGGTTAACAAAGGCCCCAACTCTGCGCTGTCCTACTGCTTGTGGAGTTACCTTCTACCCCAACTTACTTGTATGTAGGAATGTTCCAAAGTCCTTGCCATTTGTACGTTTTCAAAGAAAGCCAAGAGAGGGTCTTCATCCCACAGTAAATTCCTAATCCATTACATAAGATCACATCCATTATCCACTGAAAGGAGAAAGACACAGTGATGCTGTACAAGAAACGCTGAAGCTCGTAAAAGGGAAGATACTACAGGTACACATACACGCAGCCGTAGTCTGTCACAGGGACTGCACACCCCCAGAGAAGAGAGGTGCACGAACTGTCAGGAGACAGACTCTCGCCTGCCCGAGCCTACTCAGACAAAGGAAAAGTGTTCTACAGGCGATGGCTGTAGTTTCTCTTCCGCTGCACTCCTCGTGTTACAGAGCAGCCCTCCTCCCACTTACTATCCGCTCAACTCCACGCTGGTAAGTGAGAACTTTAAAAAACACGCCAAAAAAAGTATCTGCACTTGTTCCTATGGACTGGATTTTACTGTGCCCAATCGCTTAACACACTCTTTAAGCTTCAGGCTGCCTCCTAAAGAAACAACTTATCTCCAGGCTCGAGATGTAAAATTAAACAAGTAGTTTCTCCCCATGCTCTGTCTTATTGCCAAGCGTCAATTCTGGAGATGGAGCTCTTGAGCTGAAAAAAACCTTGTCTGTCCTCCACGTTCAAAGCAGCAGAGCAGAGTGGTAATTTCATAAGCTTTTTTGAAGGCAAAATAGCTTCACGTCTTTACACACAATGCTTTTACTTTTATAAATACAACCATGTAGCAAATCATTACAAGCTTGGAAAAGAGCTTGTACTGCAAGAATAAAACCAAACCAAAATAACCCAAGAACCATAGCCGTGTGCCCTGAATGTAGCTCTGGTAACCAAGTTACATTTCATAGGAAAATTAAAAAAAAAAAAAAAAAGTGTGCCACTTTACGGAATAGAGCGTGTTTTTTCCACAGAGAAACTAGATCACAGTAGTCCCTCCGGCTTGAAAAAATACACACAAGCAGTATTTTAGGACAAGAATGATTACAGACTATCACGTGCAAAGAACACACAGCTTTTCAGCAAAGCCAAACTTTTCACTTTTAAAAGCTTTTTATAAACCCCACCAGAAATTCTAAACCCAGTACTATTTACTGTTTTCAGAAAACAGGGAAGATAGATTTGGAGAGAAGGAAGAGCTGGACACAAGTTGCACTGAGCCTCTTTGTTTGGGTTTTTTAACAGGCATGAAAAATCACCATCTGAAACTTTATACACAAATTTTTTACCTTTCTCTTCATTTCAGGTTTTATGGTTTGTACCATCACCAAATATTTGAAAATGATCGGGTAAAGTTTCAGATACTTTCTCTGTTATGCAATGAGCCAAACCAAATATTTAACCAGGTGCAATAGTTTGAAAACCCACAAAATTATACAAACTCGACCAGGAGAAGCACCAAAGCCCCTGAGCTGCAGTAGTTACACAGACATCTCTGGCCACATGCACGTGATGTAATTTAGTTCTCACCGCTTCCTAACCCCTCCCTGTAAAATACATACTTCCATTTAGACAAATACATCATCAACTACGCAGTACATACGTGATCCCACCAACATTCACTGAAGTTTGGAAGCTGGTGTTCCAGGCTGTACTCCAGGAACTCAAACATTACACTGATGATCATACACATCCACCAGTCTCGAATCATCAAAGTCTATATAAAGGGAGAAAAAAAGTCTTTCAAATATCCACAACAGTTGAACAACACACCAAAACCATTACAAAAATGAACACTTGCACACCAAGTCGGGGGGAAACAGACTTCACCTACGCTAATGCCCTCCAGAAATCTAAATAAAGGAGAACTCAATAAATACTGTAGAGACGCTGCTCAGATTTACAGTTTTGCAATGGTGTATGGAAAAATTACTATGTTTTTTACCTAATTTCAAAACTGATCACTTCAGGAATATGAGATTAAGCCTTATGGCCTCTGAACAGAGAGGACACACATGGCGTGCGTTGTTTCCTGGTTATTTCCACAGTTGAATAACTTGTCTCCAGTCCCCAGAAACGGATCAGGAAACTCATGACAATCTTATTTTTTATCATGGGATAGTCTAGTAACGCCAAAACAAGGGAAGAGATTTGCAG